GCATCAAGTTTGAAGATGCAGCAAAATCTGATAACAGATGGATAACAACAGGGTTAATATGGGGCCTCTATTTATACCAGCACAACCCGCCTAAAATTCCCCTCCAAATCAGACTATTGGTCAATCCAGACACTGCCCCTGTTATAGTAGGGCCAAACCAGGTTTTATTAGAAGCTAGGAAGCCCCCGGTTCCCATATCGGAGAAGCCCCAATTAAAGGCTCCTCAAAGTACTTCCCCACCCTTGATCTCCGCCTCCTCTGAATACGCATCCTCAACTCAAGACATCACCCGATGGGCCCCTAACCCGGAAATAGAAAACAGGCTCCTGAATCTCATAAAAGGTTCCTATCTTGCCTTAAATCAGACAAGGCCAGAATTCACCTCCTCTTGCTGGTTATGCCTAGCAACAAGTCCTCCTTATTACGAAGGCATCGCCTCCACTGCTAAGTTCATCAATTCCACCAATCCTACTGGATGCGCGTGGGAACAACGCAATAAACTGACCCTGGCTGAAGTTTCTGGGTCAGGAACTTACATAGGCCAAGTACCCCCTAGTCATCAGCATCTCTGTAATGTAACCCTGGCAGTACCCAGTTCCAATCACTACTTGGTCCCCTCTGAGGTGGACTGGTGGGCGTGCGACACTGGGCTCACCCCCTGTATATCCACAGCTGTTTTTAACAGCGGCACCCACTATTGCGTGTTGGTACAAGTTGTTCCCCGAGTCTACTATCATTCTGGAGACTCTTTTGATCTTCAGTATGAACAAAAAACTCATATAAGACCTAAAAGAGAACCTATCTCCCTCACCCTCGCTGTCATGTTAGGAATTGGGGTAGCGGCTGGAGTTGGGACCGGGACGGCGGCCCTGGTACATGGTAAATACCATCTGCACCAACTTAGAGAAGCCATAGATGAGGACCTTAGAGCCATAGAACACTCCATCACAAAACTTGAAGAGTCTTTAACTTCCCTGTCGGAAGTTGTGTTACAAAACCGACGAGGACTAGAAATTGTCTTTCTGAAAGAGGGCAGGCTCTGTGCAGCCCTAAAAGAGCAATGTTGTTTTTATGCAGATCATTCAGGAGTAGTCAAAGATTCTATGGCAAAACTAAAAGAAAGATTAGACAAGAGAAAAAAAGAGAGAGAATCTCAGCAAAATTGGTTTGAAAATTGGTACAATCGATCCCCTTGGTTTAGCACCCTAATCTCCACCATCTTAGGACCCCTCATCCTACTCACGCTCATCCTGACTTTCGGGCCGTGCATACTCAACCGCTTACTCACCCTTATTAAAAATAGATTAAACATAGTACATGCTATGGTTCTGACCCAACAATACCAGACCCTTAGGACTGAAGAAGAGGCTCAAGATTGAGCCTCTGACACAAAAAGAGGAAGAAATGAAACTAGGCCTCACAAAACCTAAAAAGTTAGCACCAGGTGGCCCTCGATAGGGTCCCACCCCTGTCTCTTATACACATCTAGATGTGTATAAGAGACAGAGCTTGCAGTGAGCCGAGATGGTGCCACCGCACTCCAGCCTGGGGACACAGTGAGACACTGTCTCTAAATACAAACGGAAGTCAACGGTGCATTAAGCAGCTCCCTCGTGTCCTCACGTGACACCGTCTCACCAACACGGGAGGCAACGCCACCTGCGACATTCCCCGTCACACTGGCGACGCCACAGGCAGGCGCTGCAGTCACAGCTCAGGGCGCCGGCACCACGGCGGAGCAAGTGCCCACTGCGTGCCAGGCACCTACTGTGTGCTGGGCACCGGGGGACGGAGGACGCAGTCATGTGCGACGTGGTGTGCCACCACACTAGGCTGGCGCCTGCGCACAAAGAGTGAGGCTGTAAACGAGAGAGGAATCTGTGAACTTCAAACTCTCAGGGTTTTCTGAGGAATAAAGGTTTTTGCAAAATGATGTCAGGGTCACCTTCTGTTTTCTTTTTTTTTTTTGAGAAGGAGCCTCGCTCTGTCCCAAGGTGGGAGTGCAGGGGCAGGATCTCAGCTCACTACAACCTCCGCCTCCTGGGTTCAAGTGATTCTCCTGCCTCTGCCTCCTGAGAAGCTGGGATGACATGCACGTGCCATGTGTAGAGATGGGGTCTCACTGTGTGGCCGAGGCTGGCAACTGTGTTTTCTTCTCCCAGCTTGAGGAGCAGCCCCCACCAGCAGGTCCAATTTGGGCTTGTTCCATGCTGGGAGAGCTCCAGGGCCTGTGCAGAGCTAGCAGGGACAGGACCCGGGGATAGGATCCGGGGTTCCAGGAGGCCCCCACAAGCTGCCCCACAGCCACCTGCCAGCCCTGCCCGGGACACGCACGTTTACCGTGGCTGTCACTGCGTCCCGGTCTGTCACAAAGGCACGGAATCTTTCCCCAAACACGGTGACAGCCATCCTGCGGGGAAAGCAGTGGTGTGACCAGGACGGACACGAACATCCGAGCCACGCAGCAAGAGCAGATTGAGGGTGAGGCCCTGATACAGCGGCCTGGTCGTGCCAGGACAGAGGGGCAGTGCCCCCACCAAGGCACCAGCCTACAGCGGCCAGGCCTGGGAGAGCTGGAGAGCGCCTACGACCAGCGACTCACACCTGCGGGGCCCCATCTGCGGCTGGCCTGGGCAGCGCTCACCTGATGGACGCCAAGAAGGTCTGATGGTGCTTCTGCACGGACTCCTCCTGCTTCCGTAAGTTCTCCTCATTGACAAGTTGCTGAGAAGTCACAGAAAAAGAGAAAAGCCTTTAAAACCAGAAAAATGCTCAACACCGATGCAGAGGTTGTGTCTGCCCCAGGACGGGAGGGCTCCAAGCGTCTCGGGCACCTGGGGCCCTGCAGATGCCACAGCCGGACACAGACACAAGTGACATCGCCCGGGATGGCAGTCGCTGAGGGGCTGCTTTCAGGAGCCCAAACTCCCCAGCGGCAGAAACAGCCCCTACTGCGGCTTCCCTGAGAAGGGCCACTGCGCGGCAGACCTCCCAACACCACCGCCCTGATTCACGCTGTGCTGAAGGAAGCCTCTGTCTTCTGCCAATAAAACGTTAAAGCTACAGTGGCCACAACAGGCAACGCGTGAACCCCGCCTGTGAGCTCAGGACTGAGGGCGACGGGCCGGGCGCGGTAGCTCACACCTGTAATCTCAGCATTTTGGGAGACCGAGGGATGTGGATCACTTGAGGTCAGGAGTTCAAGACTAGCCTGGCCAACATGGTGAAACCCCATCTGTACTAAAAATATAAAAAAGCAGCTGAGTATGGTGGCGGGTGCCTGTAATTCCAGCTACTCGGGAGGCTGAGGCAGGAGACTCGCTTGAACCCGGGAGGCGGAGGTTGCAGTGAGCTGAGATCACACTACAGCACTCCAGCCTGGGTGACAGAACGAGACTCCGTTTCAAAATCAATAAAATAGAAAAAATCCTGCTGAGCTCAAAGAAATGAGGTGAGAATGTCAAGAAGATCTAGGCCCTCCAGACGACCAGACACCCTCACCAACACTGGTCCTCCCTCTCGGGCGGCACTGCAGCAGCGTCTCTCACCTCCCCTTGGAATGAGGCACCCAAGCCCTGCCCTGGGCCCCACTGCTGCCCATGTACACGCCCCTGGCCCTACCCACTGACAGTAGCCCACCAATCTCCACGCTCGAACCCCATGTGCACCCCGGCCTCCCCACACACACCGGCTCCACTCACTTTGAGCTTGGACTGTTGCTCTGGCTGCAAAGTCGGCTCCTGCATCTGCACCAGATTCACGGTGTCCTTCGACATGGCCTGCGGGCGCAGAGGCACGGAGGGCAGGTGTTAGGATACGCGGATGACTGGGCAGGCATGCACACCAGACGGGGGGCTTTCACACAGCCACACCTGGACCTCAAAGCCCCCAGCCCTGCCTGAAGGGGTGGCCTGCCACTCCATACCTGTGGGCGTTTCTCGGTAGGTGGAACGAGAGACTTGAGAAAATAAATGAGACACAGAGACAAAGTATAAAGAAAGAAAAAGTGGGCCCAGGGGACTGGCGCTCAGCATACAGAGGACCCACGCCGGCACCGGTCTCTGAGTTCCCTCAGTATTTATTGATCATTATCTTTACCATCTTAGAAAAAGGGAAGTGGCAGGATAATAGGATCATAGTGTTGGAACCGAACTGTCGATTCCTTCCTGGGCAGGGGTCGCCGCAAAGGATCACCGACACGAGATTCACAGCAGAGAGTTATTTATTACTAGCGCGCTAGGGTCCCAAGCTCTAAGTTGGCCCTGGGACCCCGACTGCTTGCTACAGGCTGTTTATATAGGCAAACACAAGTTTAAACACAGCTTATGGCGTGAAATTCAAACAAAGCTTAAGGCGCAAAATGGTTGGGTCTAGCTATGGCCTGAGCAAGGTGTCTTATGCTAATTGGTTAGAGCAGGACCTTATGAGGTTTTTTCCTGGAGTTGTTGATTCCGGGAACTTCGAGGCAGGGTGGGACCCCCGGAATTGGCAGGGTGGGACCCCATGAGGTTGTTTCCCGGAATTGGCAGGGTGGGACCCTATCAGGGTGGGTCCCTATCGAGGCAGGGTGGGACCCTATCCAGAGCCACCTGGTGTTAAAAAATTTTTATATATGAGGCCTAGTTTCAATAGTAGGGAGAAGGTCAGCAGTAACACATATGAATAAAGATCTCTGTGACATAAGTTTAAGGAAAAATGTCTTGATATGCATATGCAAACATCTCTAGAAATCTTTTCAGTGCAAAAAGAGCAGCATTGCGCTAGCCCGTCCCACCTTTTGCCCTAAGGCGGTTTTCTCCTTTCTCAGTAAACAGAACATCTCTGTTTTACACTGAGATGTTCCATTGCCCAGGAACAGGCAGGAGACAGATGCTTTTCTCTATCTCAACTGCCAAGAGGCCTTCTTTCCTCTTACACTAATCCTCCTCAGCACAGACCCTTCATAGGTGTCAGGCTGGGGGAGGATCAGGTCTTTCCCTTCCCACGAGGCCATATTTCAGACTATCACATGGGGAGAAAGCTTGGACAATACCTGCTTGGACTGAAACTAGGCCTCACAAAACCTAAAAAGTTAGCACCAGGTGGCCCTCGATAGGGTCCCACCCTGCCTCGATAGGGTCCCACCCTGATAGGGTCCCACCCTGCCAATTCCGGGAAACAACCTCATGAGGTCCCACCCTGCCAATTCCAGGGGTCTCACCCTGCCTCGAAGTTCCCGGAATCAACAACTCCAGGAAAGAACCTCATAAGGTCCTGCTCTAACCAATTAAACCAAGACCCCTTGCTCAGGCTATAGCTAGACCCAATCATTTTACGCCTTAAGCTTTGTTTGAATTTCGCGCCATAAGCTGTGTTTGAACTTGTGTTTGCCTATATAAACAGCTTGTAACAAGTAGTCGGGGTCCCAGGGCCAACTTAGAGCTTGGGACCCTAGCGCGCTAGTAATAAATAACTCTCTGCTGTGAACCTCGTGTCGGTGATCCTTCGCGGCGACCCCTGCCCAGGAGGGAATCGAGAGTTCGGTTCCAACATTTGGTGCATTGGCCGGGAAGTGGGGTCGTCCGAGGACCCCCGACCCATCCGGCGGAGACCCATCTGGCCCGGGCCACCGACCGCCGACTGGACGAACGAACTCTGTCAGGTACTCTCGTTTCGTTCTGTTTGTTTCGTTCCGTTCTGTTTGTTTTGCCGGCTAATTCTGAGGAGTACTCCGTCTGAATAATTAAGTGGAGAAGGGGGACAGACGTGTCCGGCACCTTCTCACTTACGCCCCGGGGACGCCCTGGCGGTAGATTGGAAGAAGGCTGACGACTCCGTCAGCCTCCTCGAATCTGTAGGCAGGGTGCCGTCGCCCCTGCCATCCGAATATTTTGTGAAACTGTGGCACCACTCTCTGGCCGCGCGGCTTCTTCTCATTTGTTTGGTCCTTTTGTATGTTGCTTTCATTTTGTCCTTGTGTGTGAAAGAATCTCTAGACAGAACTATGGGACAGACGTTGACGACCCCTTTAACTCTGACTCTGACTCACTTCCCTGACGTTCGGGCTCGAGCCCACCACCTCTCTGTAGAAGTCCGTAAGGGATGATGGAAAACATTCTGCTCGTCCGAATGGCCGACCCTCCAGGTAGAGTGGCCACGAGACGGAACATTTAACCTCTCAATTATCCTACAGGTCAAAGCAAAAGTGATAGATCCTGGGCCACTCGGACACCCAGACCAGGTGGCCTACATAATTACTTGGGAAGATCTGGTCCGAAACCCTCCTTTTTGGGTGAAACCCTTCCTCCATTCCCCTTCCCCATCCCAATCTACCCTCCTTGCCTTAGAGGCCCCAAAGAACCGGAATTCAGACCCGCAAAAGCCGGTTCTCCCAGATGAGCCCCAGAGGGACCTCCTCCTTCTTGACCCCCTGCCTCCTGCACCTGAAAACCCCCTCCTGAGACCTCCGCCTTACGCTTCCCCCTCGG